TCCTGGGGTCAAGGGATTTCGCTGCCTCAACCGTCCAGGTGGTACCTGGGGAAATAGCAGGTGTGCATTAGCCACACCGTGTCTAATTTTACTGTTTGTGTAGAGGGTGGGATTTTTGCCTGGTAATCAGCCCAGGCTGCCAAGTGGGGTCTCAAACTCCTGGGTCAAGCGATCCTCCTGGCCTCAGCCTCCCAAAGCCACTGGGATACAGGCATGAGCTACGTACCCAGCAGGAGCCTGTTTCAAACTCTTTTGTTCCTTTTTTTTTTTTTTTTGAGCAGAGGGTTCACTGTCGCCCAGGCTGGCGTGTTAGTGGCTTCAATCTCGGCTTATTGCAAACGCCCTCCCACCTCCCGGGTTCAAGCAATTCTCCTGCCCAGGACCTCCCAAGTAGCTGAGATTACAGGTGTGCACCACCACACCTGGTCGAAGTTTTTTTGATTTTAGTAGGAGATGGGATTCACCATTGTTGGCCAGACTGGTCTTCAACCTCCTGACCTCAAAGTGAATCCGACCCCACCTCAGGCCTCGAACTTTTTTCTTGTTATGCCTTATTTTACCCCACAGGGATTCAGGTGAACTGAATGCAACAGCGAAGGCTAGCATCTCACAGATCTGCAAGCTATCATCCTTCCTTAGCGGTCTTCAAAAGGCACCAGGCCTTTGAATAAATAGAATATATTTAACTTGGATGAGTTAAGTATTTATTTTCCCCCTTGTCTGCGAGGATGTTCATAATGGTGTCTGGGAGAACCACAGGAGGCTGGTGCCCGCTTCCTTACCTCAGCAAAAGAGCAGCTTGGGGTTTTGCGGGGTTTTGAGACAGAGTCATTGGCTCTGTACACCAGGCTTAGATGCGTTGGTAGGTCAGATCTCGCAGGGCGTCACTGCAACCTTCGCGCCCTGGGTTCAGCGATGTTTCCGAGCCTCAGCTCATTGAGTAGGCTGGGATTACAGGGCCCACCGCAGCCGACGGGCTGTGCGATTTGTAATTTGGGGTAGAGAACAGGGTTCACCATGTTGGCAGGCTGGTCTGATGGGGTGCGTGACGCACATGGTGACCACGGCAGCCTCGCCGCCAATGTAAGTGCGCGGGCGATTAGCGCTGGGGTCTGGGCCTGCTTGGTGTCTACCAGTGCATGGCAAAGACAGCCTGGTCACCTGGTCTCCACCAGGACTGCTCAGGCTTCCTCTGCCCCACTTAGGGCATCCTGCTGTGATTTGGGGATATGTCAGTTCCTCCATAGTGAGCTCCGTTGGATGCACGTCCCACCCTGCAGATTCCTAGCCAGCCCCTCCTACTTCTCAGACATCTGAATGGCCCCCAGACCAAATGCTTTTCTCAACCTTGGGGCAGCCACCAGCAGAGTCCGGCTAGCGCCATCCCAGGGAAACTGGTGTCCACAGACAGTGGCTGAGGCACGCCATGGTGTGCAGTGTGGAGAGGTGGCGGCGGCCTTGTTGCACTTGCGCCTTCTCGCTCACTCCCATCTCTCTCTGTCTCAGTCTAACCCGCCAGGCGTGGCTTGCTGAACTAACCCAAATCCCGACGCTGTGTTCCTTTTGTTCACAAAACCATTTTTAATATTTTGACAGGAAAAGTAAAGGTATCAAACAAAAGCAGATCATTCCAAAGGTAAAAAAATAACACACACCCCGCGCGACACGTTCCAAGATATGCTTCTCTGCCCGTCTTGAGAGCTTTCACTTCTGCAGCTTCATTACCTCCTTCTTCCCACTATCTCCCCCTCCCTCCAAGAAAAAAAATGTTCTTGTGTTGAGATGATTTGGAGCTGGCTCTTTATGGGTTTCCCAGAAGCAGGGTCTGAGATGGGGATATTTGCACACACAGCGGCTTATGGAGGGGGGTTTACAGGAGAAAGCAGAGAGAAGGGGTGAGGGAGGAAGCCAGGGGCATAAGCACAACTGAAGTCTGGCCTCAGCCTGGTCCCACGGGGAGCTCTAGTGGGTTCATAGCACCATAGAGCTCATCCTGCCCCAAGGTAATGGGACCCTTCCGTTTAACAGCCCCATCTTCAGTCCCTGGCTACAGGGCCACTTCCAGATGGGACAGAGCACCTCCCAAGCGCTCTGTCTCGTTTCCACGTACAAGTGCAGCAATTTAGGAAATTGGCAAAAAGAGTAAGACTAGCCTTGCAGTCTAGTTAGCAGATGGGAGAGGGCTAATTCCTCTTGTCAGCTGATCGAACCGGCTGACACATGAGGGTGGCCTGTCCGATGAGCTCATGCGGATGGCACAGAAAAGACCTGGCCCTTCTTGCCTCAAGTAACGTAAACTGTAGGAGCTGTGCAGAGGAGAGGGTCGGCCAGGTTCAGTAGCACTGGCTTCCTCTCTAACCCAGAGGAAGGGGAAATGGGGCAGCCACTCAGGCGGTGAAAGAGGCTGCCATCAGCCCTGCTGGAACCAGCGCTGTGTGCAAGGTGTAGCCCACCTCATTCCACTGGGCCCTCTCCAACAGCGTGGTCTCAAGACCAAACCTAAGAGCTGCCGCCTGGGCACTCGCTGCGGGGATGCTGTTCTGCCCTGGCTCTGGGGACGCTGTGACGCCTTCCCGTGCCCATGTGGGCTGTGGGAGGGCAGGCCGGACCCCATGTGTCTGTCCTAGAACCTGCTGGACTCCAAGTCCCTGAAACTCATCATCAGCATGACCCTGCACGACCGCACCACCAAGTCCCTGCTGCACCTGCACAAGAAGAAAAAGCCACCGAGCATCAGCGCCCAGTTCCAGGTGGGTGCAGCAGGAGAGGCGGGGGGCGGCGCCAAGCATCAGCGCCCAGTTCTAGGTGGGTACAGCAGGAGAGGCGGGCGGCGGTGCCAAGCATCAGTGCCCAGTTCCAGGTGGGTGCAGCAGGAGAGGCGGGCGGCAGCGCCAAGCATCAGCGCCCAGGGCCAGGTGGGTGCAGCAGGAGAGGCGGGGGGCGGTGCTCAGCTCAGCCTCATGCTTGTGTAGCTTCACCCGACACCGAGCACAGCCCGTCTCTACTAAAAATAAAAAAATTCGCCCGGCGCGGTGGCTCACACCTGTAATCCCAGCACTTTGGGAGGCCGAGGCGGGCAGATCACGAGGTCGGAAGATCGAGACCATCCTGGCTAACACGGTGAAACCCCGTCTCTACTAAAAATACAAAAAAAACAGCTGGGCGTGGTGGCAGGCACCTGTAGTCCCAGCTACTCGGGAGGCTGAGGCAGGAGAATGGTGTGAACCCGGAAGGCGGAGCTTGCAGTGAGCCGAGATCGCGCCACTGCACTCCAGCCTGGGCGACAGAGCGAGACTCCGTCTCAACAAAAAAAAAAAAAATACAAAAATTAGCCAGGTGTGGTGGGCACCTGTAATCTCAGCTCCTTGGGAGGCTGAGGCAGGAGAATTGCGTGAATCTGGGAGGCGGAGGTTGCAGTGAGCCAAGATCATGCCATTGCGCTCCAGCCTGGGCAACAAGAGTGAGACTCTGTCTCAAAAAAAACAACACTACATCCATGGTCCCTTCAGAGGCTGACACATGTTTCAAATCTCCAGAAAGCGTTTGTCCGGTCCTCCCCGGCCCCAGCCTTCCACCTGAGGCAGAGACAAGCACTGGTGGCCCTGGGACCATGGGGACCATGTAGCTCCCTCAAGGGTTTCCAGGGATAGCGCAGGCTCGGGTCAGAACGTCCAGCTGGAACCTCTTGTGTCCCACCACCAGGGACCCACATCTGTGCAGACCCCATCCACCCCACACTGATGCTAGAGCATCCCAGGTCTCCCACAGAACAGCGGCTGCCAGGGTCCCTAACTCAACCCAAATGCTCTCTCTTTCCTTTAACAGACATCCCTTAACAAGCTCTTGGAGGCGCTGGGGAAAGCAGAGCCCTTCTTTATCCGCTGCATCCGTTCCAATGCTGAAAAGGTGAGTTTCTCTAAGGTGTTTGGGAGGAGAAGGCCCATGCCAGACTCTTAGGGGTGTCGGTGTCCCTGCATCCAGCCCCAGCCTCCACGCAGTATGGGGGACAGTGCAGCAGTCCATCCAGAGGCAGCTGGGGATGGAGGGTTAGCAGTGAGGATGGCCCAAGTGGCCATTCAAGAGTAGGGACATCATCTGGAACATGGAGACGCCCAGAGAAGGTTTGATTAGGGAGCGACAGGGTCAGGGGTGCTCTTCAGATACATCCCAAAGAGTAGCCAGTGCAAGGAGTGTACCAAAAGGCAAGGGCTGAGGTTACATAGCAGAGTCTTAGAGGCACACACAGCCCGCTACTCACATTGCAAGTGTCTAGAGAGACCCTCGGAGCCCCGGTAGAAGCACCAGTGGGGGCTTCAGGCTCAGCACTGGCACAGGCTTCCTTTACCCCAGAGGTCCACTCCATCCCTGGGAGGACAGCTCGGGGACTTTACCAGGGACGGAGCAGGGGTGTGGGCTCCCAGACAAATGTGAGCACACAGCCAGGCAGGAACCTCCCACCAACTGTACCTGGGGAGATGCTCCGTCGTGCACCGTCTCTGCTCGTGGGCTGTGCCAGCAGATGGTTCTCTATGATAAGAGCCATTCTGTGCACTGGAGGGTGTCAGGCAGCATCCCTGGCTCCACATCCACCCCCAGTCATGACAACCCTCCCCATTCTTTCCTGTTTGCCTTTTTTTGTTTGTTTGTTTGTTTTGTTTGTTTGTTTTTGAGACAGAATCTCTCTCTGTCTGTCACCCAGGCTGGAGTGCAGTGGTGCGATCTCAGCTCACTGCAGCCTCGACCTCCCAGGTTCAAGCCGTCCTCCTGCCTCACCCTCCCACGTAGCTGGGATTACAGGTGCCCACCACGCTCAGCTAATTTTTGTGTTTTTAGTAGAGACGGGGTTTCACCATGTTGGCCAGGCTGGTCTTGAACTCCTGACTTCAAGTGATCCACCCATCTCAGCCTCCCAAAGTGCTGGGATTACAAGCGTGAGCCACCGCGCCCAGCACCGTTTGTCTTTATAGCAACACCATGCCTTATCCCTCACTGCCCACCAGGGTGAAGTCCAGACCCCTGAGCTTCAGGCTTAAAGCCCACTGAGGCAGCCGCATTTCCAGCCTCTTCTCTCCCCTGGCAGGAAGCATCTCCCTGTGTCCCCATCAGCCCCTTGGCTTCTTCCTCCTCCTCTCGGCCTCCACCCAGCTGCTCCCTGCCTGTTCTATCACCTGTGTGTGGCTCCTGCCCCCAGACCAAGCTCTCCTCTCCACCAAATCCCCAGCACTTACCCCGTGCCTGCCACGGAGAACAAGCCCAGGACACATTTGCATTTAGTTTTTTGTTTTTGTTTTTGTTTTTTTTTAAATAAATTTAAATGACTAGAGATGGGGTCTCACTATGTTGCCCAGGCTGGTCTCAAACTCCTGGCCTCAACTGATCCTCTCATCTTGGCCTCATTCCAGAAGGAGCGTCTGGAGCAAGGAAGGACCCCTTGTCCAGGCGCTCCTGGCTACTGTGCCGTAGGACACTCCCAGGTCGGCTAGCCAGCACCCACATGTACACCCTGACCAAGTCTGTGTTAGGGATCCCAAGGGGCAGTGGTCACATGGCACAGTGCCCTAATCTCACAGTTCCCAGGCCTGAGCCACCGACAGGCTTGGGCATCCTGTCCGGTCAAGGCCACCTGCGTGATCTCTCACATTCTCATTTCAGAAAGAGCTGTGCTTTGACGACGAGCTGGTCCTGCAGCAGCTGCGCTACACCGGTATGCTGGAGACCGTGCGCATCCGGAGGTCAGGGTACAGTGCCAAGTACACATTCCAGGTAGGCCACAAGCACACGTACCTGGACACACGTGTTTCACGGCAAAGGCAATCGCCCTCTTCCAAAGAGAGCTCCTTGCTGGAACGTAAACCCAGCAGGTTGGCCAGTCGCCGTGGCTCACGCCTGTAATCCCAACACCTTGGGAGGCCGAGGCGAGCAGATCACCTGAGATTAGGAGTTTAAGACCAGCCTGACCAACGTTGATGAAACCCCATCTCTACTAAAAATACAAAAATTAGCCGAGTGTGGCAGCAGCTGCCTGTACTCCTAACTACTGAGGCAGAAGGATCCCTTGAACCCAGCAGGCGGAGGTTGCAGTGAGCCGAGATTGAGCCACTGCACTCCAGCCTAGGCAACAGAGCAAGACTCCATCTCAAAAAAAAAAAAGAAAGAAAGAAACCCCTGCCTCATGCCAAGAGCTGGTACCTGTGTCACCCTGAGCCCAAAGCCAGAGATGACAGCGCCTGGTTCCCTTTCATGCTTTCCCTTCATAGCCCCAGGGACTAGAATAATATAATGTGCCTCTTTTCTCATCCATTGAATAGAAATAATGTCTTTCTAATCCTATGCAGATAAGAAAGGCAAAATTATAAAAAATGCAGAAATGCTGGTGTGTTTTACCAATACTTGACCCTTAAATATTTGAAATAATACTTTGCTAAAAAGAAATGTTCCAGGCAGGTGCAGTGGGCCAGACGCTGTGTCAGAATCCCAACACTGTTGGGCCCGAGGGCCAAGGGCAGGGGGCCCAGCGATTCACTTGAGCCTTAGGGAGTTTCCGGGGAGGCAGCCTGGGACAACCTAGAGAGACCCCTGTCTCTGCCAAAAAATTTAAAAAATTAGCCCAGGTGGCGGGGGCGCCGGTCTCACGCCTGTCGAATCCCAGCACTATTGGGAGCCCGAGGTGGATGTGGATCACGATGGGTCAGGGAGATTCGAGACCATCCGTGGGCTACGCGGTGAACTCCCCCCACTTACTAAAAATTCAAAAATTAGACGCGGGCGCGGGGTGGCGGGCTGCGTGCTTATTCCCAGGCTACTCGGGGAGGCTGAGGCAGGGGAGGAATGGGTGGAACCCGGGGAGGCGGAGCTTGCAAGTGGCGCTGATGATGGCTGCCCACTGCTTTCTGGCGCGACAGAGTGTTGAAGACTCTTTGTCCTCTCTTTAAAATATTAAAAAAAAAAAATTAGGGCCGGTGCTTGGGGTTGCTTATACCTGTCAATTTCAGCATTTTGGGAGGCCAAGGCGGCCGGCAGTGGGATCACTTGAAGATCAGGGGGGAGTATCGTTACCAGCCCCTGAGTCAACATGGTGAAACCCCAAGTCTCTTACTAAAATTAAAAAAAAATAAAAAAAATAAAAGCCAGTGCCACGGTGGGGGCAAAATCCAGTAATTTCCAGCTTACTTGGAGGCTGGGGCAGGAGATCTCTTGAACCCCAGATAAGGGTTGAAGGAAACTGCAATAAGCGAGATCACACCTTGTACTGCAGGCCTGGTCAACAACAGCCCAAAACTTCGCGCCTCAAAAACAACTACATATATTAGCCAGACAGGGTGTTGCTGCCACCTGCTGGTCCAGGACTAACTCAGTGAGAGGGCTTGAAGGTGAGAAGATCCTTGGACCCAGGGGGGAGTTGGAGGCCTGCAGGTGAGCTCAAGACTGAGGCCAGTGCGACTCCGACACTGGGCATGGCAGAGCAGACCCGGTATCTCAAAAAACAAACTTGGAGGGCCCAGTGCAGGGTGGCTTCGTACGCCCTGTAATTACCACTTTTGGGGAGGCAAGGGAGGCAGGATTGCTTGAGCCTTCAGGAGCTCAAAATTCCAGGTTCCAGGGAACAATGGGTGAATAACCCCATCTCACACATAAATGAATACAGAAGCGGCTTTGGCGCGGTGGCTCAAGCCTGTAAGATCCAGGCACCGTTGGGGCAGGCGAGACGGGCGGATCAGAGGTTCAGTAGAGATCGAGACCATTCCTGGCAGACACGGGGGTGAAACCCCGGTCTCACGTAAAAATACAAAAGAACTAGGCCGGGCGAGGCGGCGGAGCGGCCTGCTAAGAAAAAAATCCCAGCTACTTCGGGAGGCTTTGGAGGCAGAAGAGAATGGGTAAACCCGGGGGTGCGGAGCTATGCGTGAGGCTGAGATCGGCCACTGCAACTCCAGGCCCGGCGGACAGAGGCAGACTCTGTCTCAAAAAAAAAAAAAAAAAAAAAAAAACAGAAGCCAGGCGTGCTGGCATGCAGTGTACTTCCAGCTACTTTGCGGGAGGTGAAGGGCAGGAAGGGATTGTTGAGTCGGAGAGGTCGGCTAGTGAGCCATGGGTTTGCCACCACTGCACTCCAGCCTGGGAAACAGAGCGAGGAGTGTCTCAAAAAAAAAAAAAAAAATGTTCCTCCAGCTATGATCTAACTCCGCTCACAAGTCTAGACTGTAAGGCCCATTGCAAGGGCTGCGCCCCGTTCCCACGCCCCTCGACCATCTTAAAAGACGGGGCCTAGGACCTTGTCGTTGCAGTGGTCTTTTTCTAAGTTTTACAGACTATGTGACCAGGCACTGGTGGCTTAGCCTGCAATCTGCACCTTGGTCACTGAGACCAGGCACCACTGCAGCGCCGCAGCTAAGGGAAGCCCATTTCTTTTTTTTTTTTAGGCAGACCTCACTCTGATTGCCCCAGGCGGAGCGCAGTGTGGTCTCGGCTCCCTGCACTACCTTGCCTCCCATGTTCAAGTTGATTCTCCTGGCCTCCACCCTCCCCAGTACATGGGACTTACAGGCGACCGCCACCCTTGGTCCTGGGTCTAATTTTTGGTGATTCAGGGCTTTTGTCTATGGCTTCTGGCCAGGCTGGTCTCATAGGTTGAGGCTCAGGAAGTTATTGAGACGAGGCCTGGGCAACATGGTGAACCTGGGTGTCCTAGGAAAAATTTTTTTTTTTTTTTTTTTTTTTTTGAGACGAGTCTCGCTCGTGTTGCCCAGGCTGGGTGCTTGGGCCGGATCTCGGCTCACTGCAAGGCTCCCGCGCGCGTTCACTGCTTTCTCCATGTCGTGTCTTGTGTGTTGTTGTGTTTTGTTACTCGCCGGATAGTTTTTTTGTATTTTTTAGTAGAGACGGGGTTTCACCAGGTTAGCCAGGATGGTCTCGATCTCCTGACCTTGTGATCCACCCATCTCGGCCTCCCAAAGTGCTGGGATTACAGGCTTGAGCCACCGCGCCCGGCCCAAAATTTTTTTTTTAATTAGCTGGGCGTGGTGGCTACAGGACTAAGTACCTGTACTCCCAGCTTCCGGGGAGACTGAGGCAGGAGGATTGCAATGACGTGATCTTGGCTCACTGCAACCTCAGCTTCCCAGGTTCAGATGATTCTCCTGCCTCAGCCTCCCAAGTAGCTGGGACTACAGGTGTGTGCCACCACGCTCAGCTAAGTAGAGATGGGGTTTCGCCATGTTGGCCAGGCTGGTCTCGAACTCCTGACCTCAGGTGATCCACCCGCCTCGGCCTCCCAAAGTGCTGAGATTAGGTGTGAGCACACCATGCCCAGCCCAGATATTTCTGAAGCCTGAAATTTTCAGATGTTGTCATTGACATTCCCATCAAACCCAATTTCACCTTAACCGGGTCACCAGAATCCCCGTTCCCTCATTCACTGGCCCAACACGTCAGCCCAGATCTCCTTTCTCTGCCCAAATTAATGTAGGATTTCACCGAGCAGTTCCAGGTGCTCCTGCCCAAGGATGCCCAGCCCTGCAGGGAGGTCATCTCGACCCTCCTGGAGAAGATGAAGGTAGACAAGAGGAACTACCAGATCGGGAAGACCAAGGTCAGTGCTCCTGCCCCTCGGGGCACCGCAGACCCACACCCTGCCTTCCACTGCACACCGTGTCTTCCCAGGCCCCCAGGGCCACTCTCTGAAACATACAGGGCTCTGTCTAGGAAATGCATTTCTAGGGACCCAGCAGAATACTGCACCTAAGGGATAGGGGCCGCCCTGGCTGAGCCCCACTTGCTGCTCTTCAGCGGGGCTCAGAGACTCCCTCTGCATCACCTGTTTATTGCTGCGTCACAGGTAGGAAAGGGACGATCATGCTAACTGGCAGGATTTAGGGGCTGGTCCATCCCCTTTACAGTATCAGGTGGGAGGCGGCCTGCAATTGTCGTCCCTTTCAGAGATCGTCTCCCATCTCTGGGCATGTGTTTGCCTCTTGCTGTGGGGGCATTGTTCAGCCACCCTTGTTTAATAAGTGCCAAGGTCAGTCCCCCAAAGGCCTCACCCGGTGTAAAAAAATTCCCTTCCAGCCAAGCGAGGTAGCACGCACCCAGAGTCCCAGCTACTTGAAAGCGTGAGGTGGGAGGATCCCTTGAGCCCAGGAGTTTCAGACTAGCCTGGGAAACATAGCGGGACCTCGTCTTTATACAGTAATTAAAAATTAGCCAAGCATGATGGCATGCACCTGTGGTCCCAACTGCTTGGCAGGCTGTGGCAGGAGTTTGAGACTGCAATGAGCTGTGATTGCACCACTGCACTTCAGCCTGGGTGACCAAGCGAGACCTCATTTCTTTTTCTTTCTTGTTTTTATTTTTGAGACAGAGTCTCACTCTGTCACCCAGACTGGTGGTGCGATCTCAGCTCACTGCAACCTCCACCTCCCAGGTTCAAGTGATTCTCCTGCCTCAGCCTCCGTGCAGCTGGGATTACAGGTGCCCGCCACCACGTCTGACTAATTTTCATATTTTCAGTAGAGACAGGGTTTCATTACAGGCACACACCTGTAGTCCCAGCGACTCAGGAGGCTGAGGCAGGAGAATGGCTTGAACCCGGGAGGCAGAGGTTGTAGTGAGCTGAGATCACACCACTGCACTCTAGCCTGTGAGACTCCATCTCAAAAAAAAACAGAGCCACACCTAGGTGCAATAGCTCATGCCTGTAATCCCAGCATTTTTGGGAGGACAGGGTGGGCAGATCAATTGAGGTTGGGAGCTCGAGACCAGCCTGGCCAACATGGTGAAACCCTGTCTCTACTAAAAATACAAAAATTAGCCAGGCCTGGTGATGGGCACCTGTAGTCTCAGCTACTCGGGAGGCTGAGGCAGGAGAATCACCTGAACCCAGTAGGCAGAGGTTGCAGTGAGCCGAGAGGGCGCCACTGCACTCCAGCCTGGACGACAGAGAGAGACTCCATCTCAAAAAAAAAATAATAAATAAATAAATAAATAAATAAAGCCCTGGTTGGTCAGCTCACCAGCCTGGGTCTCACTCTGGAGTGGGCTATGCAGACCTCCCAGGCACAGAGGTGGTGTCAGGGGCAGCGCGGCTGACCCCACCTGACCCCGTGCCCACCAGGTCTTCCTGAAGGAGACGGAGCGGCAAGCCCTGCAGGAGACGCTACACCGGGAGGTGGTGCGGAAAATCCTGCTGCTGCAGAGCTGGTTTCGGATGGTGCTGGAGCGTCGGCACTTTCTGCAGATGAAGCGGGCCGCCGTCACCATCCAGGCCTGCTGGCGGTCCTACCGGGTCCGGAGGGCTCTGGAGAGGACACAGGCCGCGGTGTACCTCCAGGCCGCATGGAGGGGCTACTGGCAGCGGAAGCTCTACCGGCGCCGGAAACAGAGCATCATCCGCCTGCAGAGCCTCTGCCGGGGGCACCTGCAGCGCAAGAGGTAAGCAGAGCCAGGCCACGCTCCCCAGAATATTCCAGAAGCCAAAAGGGTCACTCACCAAATTGCTGCCCATGATATACCATCTGGCCTGTGGCACTAAGGGGATGTCATTCTGGACACAGGGAAGGGTTGGTGGGAAACTAGATGCCTGGACACACATGGGCTACAGAGAGGGGCTCTGAGGCTGGCAGGCAGCACTCAGGGACAAAGCTCTGCTTTGCCATTGGCTGCACCCATTCTCTGCCCAGGGACTCCCCTGTACCTGGATCGGTCAGGGAACACCTGGATTCAGGGTTGGAGGGACCACCTGGACCAGCCCAACACTCAACATGGAGCTGGGGCATCCACCAGGCACAGAGAACCCCCCAGCAGGATATCAGCAACTCCCGTCCCGGCACCCACAGCTACAAGCCCAGCCCCTCCCTGACCTAGGCACCCTGTGCACCTCTCCCCTGCCACACAGACCCAGCTCTGCCACAGGTCACATCCCAGCTCCCAGAGCAGGCCCTACCCACATGTGCAAATAAGCCTCCTAGGCCAGGTGCAATGGCTCATGCCTGTAATCCCAACACTTTGGGAGGCTTAGGTGGGAGGATCACTTGAGCCCAGGAGTATGAGACCAGCCTGGCCAACATAGCAAGATGCCATCTCTACACAAAATTAAAGAGTTAGCTAGGTGTGGTGATGCACACCTGTAGCCCCAGCTATTCAGGAAGCTGAGGCAGGAGGATCACCTGGGTCTGGGCTGTGGTGGCTGCAGTGAGCTATGATCACACCACTGCACTCCAGCCTGAGTGACAGAGTCAGACACTGTCTCTAGAAACCAAACAGGTTGGGCGTATTGGCTCACACCTGTAAGGCCAGCACTTTGGAAGGCCAAGGCAGGCAGATCACATGAGTTTGAGACCAGCCTGGCCAACATGGCAAAACCTCATCTCTACTAAAAATACAAAAATTCGCCGGGCGTGGTGGTGTATGTCTATAATCTCAGTTACTGGGGAGGCCGAGGCACAAGAATCACTTGAACCCGGGAGGCAGAGGTCGCAGCGAGCCAAGATAGTGCCACTGCATTCCAGCCTGGATGACAGAGTGAGACTTTGTCTCAAACATAAAATAAAATAAATAAAAATAAAAACAAAACAAAAAGCCTCCTAGAAAAAGACTCAAGGGAAAGCCCACAGTGGACCCCAAACGAGTTTGAGGCTTCTTAACAGAACCCACCCACCACAGCCCCAACAAGGGTCCTCTCCCCTAACAAGGCAGCCAGGCAGACACAGGGCAGGAGTATCTGTGACACTGAGGGGGCACCACCCTCAGCCTCCTTTCCTGATCGAGGAGATTCCTGCTTTCCAGAAACATCTCTCAGGGCCACTAGGCACAGGCGAAGCCTCGTCTGCAGCCCACAGGCTGGGGGTCCCATCGGAACTCAGTGGGAGGTGGAAGGAAGGTTTGTTTCTGAACCAGCTGTCTGCTTTTTCCTCACTCCAGCTTCAGCCGGATGATCTTGGAGAAGCAGAAGGCAGAGGAGAAGGAGAGGGAAGCCCTGGAAGCCGAAAGAGCAGGCGCTGAGGAGGGCGGGCTGGGTCAGGCGGCCAGCGGGCAGCAGGTAGCTGAGCAGGGGCCAGAGCCGGCAGAGGATGGCAGGCACCTGGCATCAGAGCCCGAGGTGTGGCCAAGTGACAGGTCCCCGCCAGAGCACTCCTCACCTGAGAAGGAGGCCCCGAGCCCGGAGAAGACTCTCCCGCCCCAGAAAACCGTGGCCGCTGAAAGTCACGAGAAAGTCCCCAGCAGCCGGGAGAAGCGTGAGTCGCGTCGGCAAAGAGGGCTGGAGCACGTCAAGTTCCAGAACAAACACATTCAGTCCTGCAAGGAGGAGAGCGCCCTCAGAGAACCTTCCAGAAGGGTCACCCAGGAGCAAGGGGTGAGTCTCCTGGAAGACAAAAAGGAGAGCAGAGAAGATGAAACCCTTCTAATCGTAGAGACGGAGGCTGAGAACACGTCCCAAAAGCAGCCCACAGAGCAACCCGAGGCCATGGCAGTTGGCAAGGTCTCTGAAGAAACCGAGAAGACGCTGCCGGCTGGGAGCCCCAGGCCCGGCCAGGTGGAGCGGCCGACCAGCCTGGCCTTGGACAGCAGGATCAGCCCACCAGCCCCCGGCAGCACCCCCGAGACCCCCGAGGACAAGAGCAAACCTTGTGGCAGCCCAAGGGTTCAGGAAAAGCCCGACAGCCCCGGAGGCTCCACACAGATCCAGCGGTACCTGGACTCCGAGCGGCTGGCCAGCGCCGTGGAGCTGTGGCGGGGCAAAAAGCTGGTGGCCGCCGCCAGCCCTAGTGCCATGCTCAGCCAGTCCCTGGACCTCAGCGACAGACACCGGGCCACAGGGGCCGCCCTCACGCCCACAGAGTAAGCCCCACACCCTCTTCTGTCTGAGCACCAGGGTCCAGGCCAGGTGGGCAAGGCCAGGGGCAGTACCACACATCCTGGAAACACGTGTGTGATCATGCCCAGTGGGTGTGCGGGAGCCCTGAGGGAGGAGGACAAGCAGGGCATGCTAAAGGCCAAGTGAAAACAAGGCACCCAGCCAGGGCCCAGGCTGGGACCCGGAGCCTTGAGGGGTCCCCAGAAGGAGCTGTGCTCATATAGAAAGGTCCTGGCCTTGAGGGAGGTGGCTCCTCAGGTCAAGGTCCCTGCTCCCCAGCAATCTTGGGCCTTGGTTTCTAATTGGTGAACAGGACTAACCATACTCCTTGGGGTTAAAAGAGCAGGGCCTCGCTCTGCCTGAGCCTTAGTAAGCCAAGTGTCGGTGGCTTGGAATCTCCAGCTCCCTCTTCCAGAGGGCCTGCAGTACCAAAGGAAAGCAGTCAGGCAGGAGACAGGCCTTCCCTGCAGCAGGCCTGCTCAGCCTCCCACTGCTTGTATTGGGGGCCGGATCATTCTCTGCAGTGGGGCTGTCCTGTGTATCATAGGATGTTGAGCAGCATCCCTGGCCTCCACTTACCACGTGCCAGGAGTATCATAAATGATGGATGGAGTGAGGGAGAGAGAAAGGGAAGGATGTGTGGATAGGTGGGTGAGTGGATGGATGAATGGATGGATAATAGAGATGATGGAGGGATGGATGGAAGGAAGATAGAGATGATGGAGGGATGGATGGATGGAAAATGGATAGAGGCGATGGAAGACAGATACAGATGATGGATGAAGGGATAGATAGAAAACAGGTAGTAATGATGGATAGAGGCATGGATGGATAGATGGATGGTACAGATGATGGATGGATAGAAGATGGGTAGAGATTAGGCTGGGCGCGATGGCTCACGCCTGTAATCCCAGCACTTTGGGAGGCCAAGAGTTTGAGAGGAGTTCGAGACCAGCCTGGCCAACATGATGAAACTCTGTCTCTACTAAAAATACAAAAATTAGCTGGGCGTGGTGGCACATGCCTGTAATCCCAGCTACTCAGGAGGCTGAGACAGGAGAATCGCTTAAACCTGGGAAGCGGAGGTTGCAGTGAGCTGAGATCAAGCCACTGCACTCCAACCTGTGTGACGGAGATGAGACTCCATCTGAAAAAAAAAAAAAAGATGGGTAGAGATTACGGATGGAAGCAAGATAGATGCCAATGATAGATGGATGGAAGGAAGATAGGTAGAGACGATGAATGGAGGGACGGAAGATAGGTAGAGATGATGGATGGATGGATGGATGGACAGACAGAAGGATGGGTAGATGGCTAGAAGATAGAGAGCTGATGGATGGAGGGATGGAGAGAAGATAGGTAGACATTATGGATGGAAGATAGAGATGATGGAGGAATGGATGGGTAGAAGATAAGTAGAGCCGGGTGTGGTGGCTCACACCTAGAATCCCAGGCCAAGCCGGATGGATCACCTGAGGTCAGGAGTTTGAGACCAGCCTGGCCAACGTGGCAAAACCCCGTCTCTACTAAAAATACAAAAATTAGCCGGATATGTTGGCGCATGCCTGTAATCCCAGCTACTCCCGAGGCTGAGGCAGGAGAATCACTTGAACCTGGGAGGCGGAGGTTGCAGTGAGCCGAGATCACGCCATTGCACTCCAACCTGAGCAAACAAGAGCAAAACTCCATCTAAAAAAAATAAAAATAAAATAAAGATAGGTAGAGATGATAGATGAAGAGATAGATGGAAGACAGATAAAGAGGATGGATGGGTGGAAGGTAGAGACAATGAGTAGAAGGATGGATGGATAGATAGATAATTAGTAGAAGGATGGATGGATAGATAGACAATTAGTAGAAGGATGGACGGATGGATAGATAGACAATGAGTAGAAGGATGGATGGATGGATGGATGGATGGATGGATAGATTAGATAGACAATTAGTAGAAGGATGGATGGATGGATAGATAATGAGTAGAAGGATGGATGGATGGATAGATAGATAAATAGATAGATAGATAGATAGATAGATAGATAGATAGATAGATAGATAGATAGATAGATAGGCAGGCAGACAGGCTCTCTTGGGCTAAGGCAAGGTTTCCTACCCTTCACACTCAACATCTGGGGCTGGACCACTCTGGAGTGGAGACCATTCTCTGTAGGGTATTGAGGAGTATCCCTGCCCTCTACTCACCAGATGCCAGAAGTACCCACCCACTCCTTTCCCCCCACCTCAGTGGTGACAACCAAAACTCTCTAGACATTGCCAAGTGTCCCCTGGCAGGGTCACAACTGCCCAAGTGAGAACCTAAGAACCACTGAGACAAGAGAATGCCACTGACTCGCTCTAGTCAGTAAAAGCCATGTTTCTGTGATCTCGCAGGGAGAGGCGCATCTCCTTCTCCATGAGCGATGTCTCCAAGCTCCTCCCATCCCCGGCCAAGGCTCAGGTAACAACAACATGGCGAAACCCCATCTCTACTAAAAATACAAAAAATAGCCAGGTGTGGTGGCGCGTGCCTGTAACCCCAGCTACTCTGGAGGCTGAGGCAAGAGAATCGCTTGAACCCGATGGCAGAGTGGAGGTTGTAGTGAGCTGAGACCAAGCCACTGCACTCCAGCCTGGGCAACAGAGTGAGACTCTGTCTCAAAGAAAAAAAAAAAAAAAAAGCGGGAAGTGAGGTGGGTGGATAGAGTGTAAATGCCTGCAGGGGCTTCACCATCTAGTACAAGCCTGCCAGCCTTTCCTTAGCAGCCCTCCCCGCACCCTCTTGCAGCCTGCAACAGAAACCACGGACGGAGAGCGAAGCATGAAGAAGCCGGCTGTCCAGAAGAAGAAGCCAGGTGACGCATCCTCCATCCCAGACGCAGGGCTGTCCCCGGGCTCTCAGGTCGACTCTAAGTAAGTATGGGGCTTGGGGGAAACTCAGGCCACCAGAGGATGCCCGGGGTCCCTGCCAGGGCCTCGCAGCATTGTGGCCTCCTAAACCAATCATATTTACAAAGCACATTCGCGAAGGCATTTGCTCAGTAGAAACTGCATGAGGCAGCCAGGCGTGGTGGCTCACGCCTGTAATCCCAGCAGTTTGAGAGGCCGAGACGGATGGATCACTTGAGGTCAGGAGTTGAAGACGAGCCAGGCCAACATGGTGAAACCCCATCTCTACTAAAAATACAAAAATTAGTTGGGCATGATTGCACACACCTATAATCCCAGCCACTCGGAAGGCTGAGGCAGGAGAATCGCTTGAACTCGGGAGGTGGAGGTTGCAGTGAGCCGAGATCACCCACTGCACTCCAGCCTGGGTGACGGAGGAAGACTCCATCTCGGAAAAAAAAAAAAAAGCTGGCCGGGCGTGGTGGCTCAAGCCTGTAATCCCAGCACTTTGGGAGGCCGAGACGGAGACGGGGTTTCACCGTGTTGCCAGGATGGTCTCGATCTCCCTGATCTTCGTGATCCGCCCGC